AGGAGTACAAGACTGAAGTTGAAAAACAACTGGGCAAAACCATTAAAATGGTTAGAAGTGATAGAGGAGGTGAGTATGATGGACCTTTCAATGCCTTCTGTCAAGAGAAAGGCATCATACATCAGACCACTGCTCCCTATTCACCAGAATCTAACGGAGTTGCAGAAAGAAAGAATCGAACTCTGAAAGAGATGATGAATGCAATGTTGCAGGAATCTGGGCTACCGCAGAATCTGTGGGGGGAAGCTCTGCTAGCCACAAACTATATCCTCAACAAAATACCACACAAAGTAACTGGCAAAACGCCATATGAGTTGTGGAAAGGTTCAGAACCTTCTTACAAATACTTGAAAGTGTGGGGGTGCTTAGCAAAAGTTCAAGTACCGCCTCCTAAGAAGGTTTCGATTGGGCCTAAAACGGTGGACTGTATTTTCATTGGATATGCGCACAACAGTAGTGCTTATCGGTTTCTGGTACACAAATCAGATATAGCCGATATCCATGCAAATACAATAATCGAATCAAGGAATGTGTCATTCTTTGAGAATATCTTTCCATGTAAAGATAGGCAGAAGCTGAAGCGAACTCATGACGCAATTGTGCCTGCGAATGAGGCTAGTACATCTGGTACTTCAGTAAATGAAGCAGAAGAAAATGAAGTTGAACCTAGGCGTAGCAAGAGAGTTCGTAAGGACAAATCATTTGGTGAAGAATACTTAGTGGTATTTCTCTGTGAGAATGAACCAAGGACATATTCTGAAGCCATGTCTACACCAGAAGCAGACTTATGGAAAGAAGCTGTAAACAGTGAAATGGATTCTATTCTGCAGAACCATACTTATATAATCACTGATTTACCTCCAGGGTTTAAAGCTTTAGGATGTAGATGGATCTTCAAAACGAAGATCAAAACTGATGGAGCTATTGATAAGTACAAGGCAAGACTTGTGGTGCAAGGATTCAGACAAGTCGAAGGTCTAGACTTCTTTGACACTTATTCTCCGGTGACGAGAATAACTTCAATCAGAATATTGATAGCTATTGCATCTCTGAGAGACCTGGAAATCCATCAGATGGATGTAAAAACAGCTTTCCTTAATGGTGATTTAGAAGAGGAAATCTATATGAAACAACCTGAAGGTTTCGTGACACCAGGTCAAGAACACAAAGTTTGTAAACTTGTGAAATCGCTGTATGGATTGAAACAAGCTCCGAAGCAATGGCATGAAAAATTTGACCATGTGATGATGTCAAATGGATTCAGTATCAATGAATGTGACAAATGCATCTACGTCAAAAACACTCCCAGCGGGTACGTTTTGCTGTGTCTGTATGTTGACGACATGCTCATCATGGGCAGTAACAAGGATATAATCCAACAAACCAAGAACATGCTTAAGGGTCAGTTTGACATGAAAGACATGGGTCTTGCGGATGTTATTCTTGGTATTAAGATCACAAGGACTTCTGAGGGTATCACCTTATCTCAGGAGCATTATGCTGAAAAAATACTTGAGCGTTTCAAGAATTATTCGAATGGAACTGCGAAAACTCCAGTGGATACACAACTGCACTTGACTAAGAACTCTGGTGAAGCAGTGTCACAAGTTGAGTATGCAAGGGTTATTGGAAGTCTGATGTACTTAACCAATTGTACCAGACCGGATTTAGCACATGCAGTGAACGTATTAAGTCGTTACACAAGCAATCCTGGTCATACACACTGGAAAGCCATAACAAGAGTGTTAAACTATGTGAGACACACTAAAAGTTATGGATTGCACTATGGTAAAGAACCTGCAGTCTTGGAAGGATACAGTGATGCAAACTGGATATCAGACTCAAAGAACTCAAAGTCCACAAGTGGATATGTCTTTACACTAGGAGGTGCAGCAATATCTTGGAAATCTTCCAAACAAACTCTACTGGCAAGATCAACAATGGAATCTGAGTTCATCGCTTTAGATAAAGCAGCAGAGGAAGCAGAGTGGCTTCGGAATTTCTTGGAAGATATTCCAATGTGGGAGAAACCAGTACCGGCACTGCGTATACATTGTGATAGCCAGTCGGCTATAGCCCGGGCACTGAATACTCTCTATAATGGCAAATCTCGTCACATCAGGAGACGACATAAAACCATTAGACACTTGATCACAACCGGTGTAATCTCGGTCGATTACATTAAATCAGCTGATAACCTAGCGGATCCGTTTACAAAAGGTTTGACAAGAGATCAAGTTTTGAAATCATCTAAGGGAATGGGTCTTTTGCCTATGACAAAAGAGGATGTTTGATGGACACCCAACCTTCGCGATTGGAGATCCCAAAAGGCTGGTTCAAAGGGACAACTAAGTCAAACAGATTCTGTTTACAGCACTGCAAGACAATATGTCTGATCCCAACTCCCAAAATGATGCACAGTGCTTCCTGTAAGTGTTTAAGGATAAGCGTTGCTTTTAATGATATGAGTAGCTTTCATATATATACGGAGTATTAACAGGATACTTTTCTTATATGACAGGAGCTCAACGAAATCACCTAGTGAGTGTGAAATGAGGCCGTTTCTAGGAGGATGAAGTCCAGGCTATATTCTCTAAGTTCACTCACGATCAACCAGGCAAAGTTCAAGGCCACAATGAACGCAATAGAGAACTAAGTTCTACGAGGAAATGAAGCTGGGTTATAGCTGTTGTCTCGGTTTACATAAACATCCGGGTGGTTCAAGACATCATGTTCACCTCCTGGCTAAGTAAACCCGACAGATATCAACAATGAGTGGTTCAAGGCTGAAATATGCCACTATCTCATACACAGTTAATTTTCGCCTATACTCTCGAAAGTCCTTCTGTCGTGTCTGTAGAGTCTGCATGTATAGTCTTTCGAGTTAGTAGAGTCTGCATATGTTTAGAGTCATTTCTCTTCATGTGGGGGATTGTTGGAACCAAATTTAAAGTCCTCATGGGCTGAATAAATTGTGGACAAATGTGAAAAGAAATGGGCTTAGGCTCATGTAAAATGAATGAGAAATTTGAGTGAGTTAAATGAAGGAGTACTTGATTTTGTCCCACATTGGAAAGAAGGAACTTTTTCCTCTTGTTTAAATATAGACATTTCCATACAATGTTCAATAGCATTTAGTGGGAGACTATGGACCTTGAGAGAAAGGGGGCCATTATGCAAAAAAAAACCACACGCGCGCGCGCCGCCGCCGCCGTGCCGTGCCGAGCCGGGCCGGGCTCGGGTCTTGGGTCTTGGTGAATGTGGGCTTCGCCCACAAAAGCCTATTCTTTTTGGGCCAAATTCCTATCAAGGTTTTTGCTAAAGCCCTACCCGAAATTGCATAATGTGTAGAATAAATCTTCCAGAAGATTGAGTTCGTTTTTCGGTTTCCTTGATAAACTCGAAAAGATATTCGGAATATTTCCGTATCCCTTTCGATAAACATAAAGGAGAATATCTTGCGGATATTCCTTCCTTGCCGACCAAGTCTTCTCACAGCTATAAATAAAGGGCCTCACCCCTCTCATTATTGATTCACTCGAATATCAAAACACTCCATCAAAAATCTCTCGCATCTCTTCTCCTCTAAACGTAAGTCTCGAGAGTATAGCGTAGTTATTTAGTTCGTAGATTCTGTAGTCCGGTGTTGGGACTATAGTCTCACGTAGTTGTATCCTGGGATTCAAAAGTCTCATGCAAACCGCCACACTGCGGGAGATTTATTGAGTTAAGGAAAGAGATCAAATCTCGCCTCTGCGTAATTCGTCTATTTCCAATCGTATTTTTAATTATATATTATTTATTATATAAGATTTTATTTCGTGTTTTCCAATCTGGATTTTCGCGGTCCTACAAATGGTAGGAGTGAAAATCCAATGGGTTCTCTGCGGTTACTACCTAAAAGCAGGTACTCAACATTTTCTTATAAACAGTGTATGAATATGTATAAATGTTCTGTTTTTAAATTTGTTTTGAGCTCATGAGTTTGAAAACCATTTTTTTTCTCTCAAGCGTGATAGAATTACTCTTTCCCGTAGTGCTTCTTAGGGGGTTTAGGCTCAATTTTCTCTTATGTGCTTAAATTTCAAGCTCGCTCATGAATTTGCTTAGGTAATGTAAATTTCGTATCTTTATCAAAGTTTTAGTCAGTTGACGAGTTCGTTCGTCGTGAATAGTCCTAGATTTTACAGTAAAGAAAGAAAGCAACCACTCACATACCGCAGTTCTTGGGTTTGCCACATGGAGCTTGCCTCCGTGAACGATGATCTTAATATGGAGGAGAATGGTAGGTTATAATTGAATTTTAAAAAGTGCATTTCCATGTTCTTGCTTTTGTGAAGGGACTAACACTGCTTCAAACTATATACTTTGGCATTGTAAAGGTCACACAATCTAAATAGAGAGACATGTAACCTGAGTGCTTGGTATATTCTTTTTGCAAGGCTTTGGCGCGTTTTCAAGAAATTACCGATAGATATACCAAGGAGAAGCAAACTCTGCGTTGATGAATCTCTCTTCTCTATTGCATTTTCTACTTTGATTATATACAAATGTTTGATTTGTCTATTTTTGGGATGTTGGTGAAGGTGGACAAGCTACTGAAGAACCGGGATAGAATTCATGCGGAAACAACTTGAACAAGGGGAGTAGCAGCAAAGCTCAGGGAGAGGAATCGGAAATCAAAACCCTTAAACAAATGAAAGGGACATTGTTAGACTTTTCATTTTCTACATTAAGTTACTTTTCATTTGTTCATATTATACTAACTACCTTTTCATGTTGACTTCGCTAAAGTTCAGTGATTCTTGTAGGGAAGAAGGCTTTTGTGTGAAGCTGAGTGTTCAGAAGAAAGCTTTAGTGGATCATAGTAGTTTCTTTGCTAAGAAACTCGCTGCGAAAGACTCGTTTTCGCTTGTCTTGAGATTGAGAGCTGTGAAGACGCAGAGATATACGTTGAGACTATTGGTCTTATGTATTATAAAGAAATGAATCAACGTCTCATGAAACAGAACGTAAGCAGAGTCCTTCGTGTCCTCAAGGTATTGCATCTAAATTCTCGTCTAATCAATCTCATTTTGGTGTTGATGTATCATAGAAGTGACTAAATTTGGTAACTTTAGGTTGCAGAGGTTCTTGGTTTCAGTTCTTGTATTCAATCTTGTTTGGATTACTTAGAAGCTGTGCCATGGGTTGGAGAAGAAGAAGAAGAGAAAGTGATCTCATCGATTCTCAGATTGAAAACCGAAGGAGTTGTTGGTGTTGTCACCACTCCTGTGCTCAAAAGAATTGCTTTCAGTGCTGTTGATCCACCAAAAGAGACGCTCTCTCGCATCATCGAGCTTGTTCTAAGAAGCAAAGAGGAGAAGAGTCGGGAGATGAAAACTATCGTCCTGAAGCTTCTCAGGGACAGAATGGAGCCAATGTATAGCTGATAACTTCAACGAAACATCTACACCTCTTGCCAAAACTGTTTCAACTCTGTTTCTCTCTGTTTCGACAAGCAGAGACCGATACCAAACAGATTGCTGTGGAAGCTGATAACTTGACGTCGCTGCTCGATGTTTTAGCGGAGAGACAAGCTGCGGAGGAGTTCTCAGTGACATGGGCGAACCAAAAGGAGCTTGCTTTGCTACACGAGAAGCTTCCTTCGATGTCGCGTTACCATATAAGCCGTGTAACGTCTCGGCTCGGCTCTTCGTAGGGATCGGAAGAGGAGAGTTGTTGCTTTCGAAAGACACTCGGCTTTTGCTGTTGACCACGTGGTTGCAACTGTTGTTTAGTGATTACAATTGGTTACAGCATGGTTGCAGATCGTTCGATGGGAAGCTTGTAGAGGAAGGGCATTGGGAGGACGATACTGACGTTGCCGTTGGAAGATCAGCAGAGTATTTTGTTGTCGTGGCTTGGGAGTTTCTTGAACGGAAGAGATGGTGGGTGTCCAAATCTTCAGAGAGCTTATGAGGTTTGGTGGAGAAGATCGTTCATTAGACCTTACTCTGATCGTGAGGGTAATGGTTTGAGCCAGACGGATTTGACATCAAAAGAGTGATTTGATTTTTTCGTTAGAGTGTACGCGTAATGTAGCTATGGAATGTGTTTCGTTTTGTTTGGTTTAGATCGTTACTATGGAGAAGCAATGACTTTGAAGGCTTTGTGGTTGATTTTTCTTTTCATATTTTGTATTTTCAAAATTTTCATAATGCTGTATGCATATTCCGATTTTTTTAAAATCGCTAATCCAGTAATCCCAGCTTGATTGCCGATTTTTTTTTAAGATAAAATAAGGAACAATATACAAAAGAGATAGATAATTTTTTTTGAATTAAGGTAAAAATTTAAATGCAAGTGACAAAACTTTGTAATAGTCATAATCCGCGCATCGCGCGGGCTTAGCCCTAGTACTACTAAAACATATTTATACTATTGTATCTACAGGGCAACAATATTGTTTTTAATTTCTTTTAACATATTTGTATTAGTATTATTTCCATTTATAAACTTCAGGTTTATATGGTCTTAGATGCAATATTTTCTTTAGATTGCTCTCTTGGTCATATCTGATAATTATTTATTTTCTTTAGAATAATATCATATCACTTCTGGTGATGATTTATTTTCTTAGAATAATATCATATCACTTCTGGTGATGGTTTATTTTCTTAGAATAATATCATATCATTTCTGGTGATTATTTATTTTCTTAAAATAATATCATATCACTTCTGGTGATTTTACATTTTCTTTAAATTTCTCTTAAAGAAATTATGAACATAACTAACATGTAATTAACAATAAAATAAATCAATAAAATAAATCAATGAATCTTAGTATATATATACTAGATCAATATCCTTGCTGCACAAGTCAAAAATAATAAAGCTATAAACAGAAAGGAAATATACACTAAAGTCAATATCATAGACTCACGGAGATTACCAATTAACTCATTTTATAATGTATCAAACGAATGTGCAATTACTAGTACCAACGATTAACATAACTCCATGGCTTATAACATATTGCAACAACAAAAAGTAACCAAACGAATTGAACCAAACATCAGCAATTTCTTTTATAAAGTAAAGATTCTCAACCTAGAAAATAAATTATCCTAGGTTTTATACAAACTGAGTCAAACAAATGATTAGATCGTCTAGCAAGTAAAAGTGTAAGTATGACACTAAAATTGCAAATACGTACTCTCAACATATATAAAAACATGTTTTGCAATTAGATCTGTTTTACATGCTAACAATTTATTCTTAGTTCTTTTAATCATGCTGTATAAATCAAATTAAATCATAGTTTAAGCATTACAAGAATTATGTATATTAAGCATGATGCATAAATTATCAAAACTAAACCAACCAAGGATTTACTATGACATATATAAATATTAGATCATTCCTTTTTCAGGTCGGTAATTCTTAAACAATAAAGCATATTATTTATGCATATTATAAAGTGTGCAAAATAAAATCCAGCAAGATATATGTTTATATGCATAGAATTCAAGCGTGAATGATAATAGGTCTATAGATAGGACAAACGAATGAAACAGATCTAAGTTCATATGTATAGAATTTTATCAAGTTCATATTATAAATTTATAATGAAACAAGTGTGGAAACAATATGAGGAGAGAAGACAAGGAGTAGATCTCATATTATAAAACTCATAAAAATTGGGAAAAGATGCGTCAAAGCAAACGTGATATGAGAAACCTCAACGAATAATGTATTAATCAAATATATGAATAATAACAAATAGTCTCAACGAATCAATAAGTTTTATATAGATGGCTCACGATAACGGAAATCGGATGTATCAAAATATATGATCTTATGATTTAATATTAATAACCATGAGTCGATAAATAAACATGGATCTTAATATTTATGAACAAGAAAAATATCTAAAACTATAACTTCTAGTTCAGACGGCTAGAGCTCGTGCTGATAACGTGTTATAGTAAGAAGAGAATAAGAGAAGAGAGGAATTGGTTGTGTATTATTCATGAGTAATAAGTCATTTATATAGGAATACAAGAGAAGGGTTTCCTTGGAGAGGAGGTACAACTTGGAGAACAAGCTAGAACATTTTAGAATATGGGCCGATAATGGACTTCCATAGAAACTAATCATAACAGATACATCTATATGAGACCTCATTTTTTTTTTGACGATTCTCTTGCATAGTTGTCTGCTTAAAACAACCTCGTGGACTTGTGATACTTTATAAGTATACTTCGCGCGGGTTGTGTTAATTTTATTGTTTTTCTAGAAATTTAATATTTTTTTCAAATATATTATACACATATTATTTAAATATAATTAAAGTTAGGCAAAAAATATGTATCCCTCTTGTTCCTTCTCGTCCCATTTCGTTCATTTTCATCATCTACATTCTTTTCTGTCTCGTCCTTCTTGTATGTCATGTCCTGTCCAATCTTATCCTATCTCATTGTTTTTTTGTAACATCTAATTTTATTGATATCAAATGTAGAGATACATAAGCAATACATAGTTTAATAAACAACAAAGATAAGGAAGATGATGAGATAATAACAATAGATCAAATGAAGTAAATTTTGAAGATGTTTTATCTTGAGTCTTCGTGAATAACAGAGTATCAACATTGTTATTTTCGTTGGGGACTTCAAATCTTCGTCCCGTTAAAAATACCAGTTTCCTTTGTTGGATTACATTGGTAACATCCCAATCTGGTTCTATAGATATTCTGTCATATAGAATCCAATATATTGGTTCTTCCGTCAGAAATAAAGATTGGGACCACCAATTTTCAACGACTCTAAAAACGTCGCCATACAACAAAGAGAATACATCTTCAACTCTATACCGTCGTCTCTTCCAATGATTCCGATGGTTCCAACGACAAATAATTCGATACAAAAAATTTTGTATCAAAATATAGAGTGCAAAAGATTCTTCATATGTCTTTATAGTCGATCTTCTACTTCTGGTTGTGAGGCCCTTCACATCCTCATACTCCAATGGCCAGAAATGATCGAACACCATCTTCCCATTCGATAACTTCCTCCATAAAACTGATTTTCCGGGATCCCAAATTCGCCGACCAAGACACCAAAACAGTTGTTGGATTTTATAGCCGATCCCTTCAAGAGATTGGTGTCGGAGAGGTTGGACATCATGGAGAGTCACAAGACCCTTCACGGAGATGACATGTTCGACATGGGTAACGAAAGAGAAGCAACCCAATCCGACGAACAATGAATACTTCGTCTCCACTAATGGAGAACGTTGACACTCACGAACCGACGTCATGGCAGAACGGTTGGTGAGAAGGTGAGAAGAAACACTGATTTTATGGTTTGGGTCTTTTGGGAACCCGATCGTAACCGTAAGGAAGCCAAATGATGGCAACCCAAAGAAGGAGAAACAGAGAAACCAATCTCATCCAATCGAGATATGAAACGCATTTCTCTTTTTTTTCTCCACTCTTGAGATGCCATGAGGATGAAACAGAGATAAAATCAAAAGAAGAATCATCAGACAGTGGTATAAAACTGTAAATCTCTTGGATTCACCCATCTCTGTTATTTTTCATGGAGTCGCTCTCTCCATCGCATGAGAGAGAAGAGAGCAAAAAACGGTTTTGTAATAGTTACGGCCTTGATAGTTGTTTTGTCTCATCCTATCTCATTTTGTTATGTCACATTTCGTTTCTTCTTGTCTTGTTTCCTAAATATAATTAGGGTTAGTGATAATTCTGTTCAATTATGTTCTTTTTCATCTTGTCCCGTTCTTTCCCGTTCCGGTCGTTCTATCCGCCCCATCCAGTCCCATCCTATACTATTATGTTCTTTTCTATTTTACCTTGTTTGTCTCGTCTCTAAATATAATAAGGGTTAAGCAAAATTCCTGTCCCATACCATTATGTCCCTTTTCATCTCGTCCCGTCCTTTCACATTTTATTTCTTTTCATTCTGTCTCGTTCAACCTTTTTGTCTTTTCCTCTCTTATCGTGTTTTTTTTTTCTTTTTCCGTTCCGCCTCTAAATATAATTAGAGGTAAGCGGAATTTATGTCTTATCCTATCTTGTTCTTTTCTATTCTTTAGATCTCGTTTCATCACTCAAAATTCTCCTCTTTTCCTGTTCTATTTCTTATTTGCCTCGTCATATTCTATCTCATCTCATTTCATTCCAAAATACTAAAAATAAAAAGTGTTACTTCTATAATATTGTTCTATTATTATTATTACTAGGAATTGTACCCCCGCGCAAGTGCGGGGTTGTTTGCATATATATAATATATACATATATATTTTTTTGTTTTAGTTTACATATATTTTTAGTTGTTCATCATCATTTATATACTTTACAAACTGTGCTCTTAATGTTTTTAGTTTATGTGTTGTTCTGTATATATTATATTGATGTTTATTTATACAAACAAAAAAATTTGAGTGATTTGTTTTTTAAATGTTAGAAATAGTCAATAATTTAGTTTTTTTTACATCAAAATCAATAATTTAGTTTTATATATAACTTATTTTTATTACTTAAATTTAAATGTTAGCTTTCAACAGTTAAACATTTTGTATGAAATTTTATTACATATACTATCTTTTTACATAATATATATTATTACGAATCTTAAATATTTTAATTTTTTAGTACAATTTTTATTTAAAAAAAAATCTCTTGCATCTATTGTTTAAAATTAACTTTTAATCTTTAAATATTAAATTCAACCAATTTTTATTTATTTGTGTCTTTTATATTTTTATTAATCATTTATTTTTAATACATTTTTTATATTTTTGGTTGAATAATAAATCTTTCAATGATATTATTAAAGTGTATGTATTAATTGAATCATTAATTTTGATTTAATTTTTTTTTTTTTTTTGCTGATATGGACACTCTAAGAGAAGAGAGCAACTCCCTAATTATATATAAGATTACTAACTAATAGT